AATACTATCATTAACACAGCATCACACAACTCATCCACGTCTTACATTACTCCACACCATGTTCTAATTATTGTGTTTTTTCACCCATGACCACCTTATTCTGAAAATATTTTAAGTCTTCCTAGCGAATACATCAGCAGTGATACATTTCGAAAATTTGACTTCCGTTCTTGGTGCAGCTGCACTTTCGAAACCTGTAACCTCTTGTACTTCCAGCCGAAAATTCTCGAGTTCTGTCGTTAGTAATTAGTTCCGTAACAACGTTGTTCCTCCATCTTCACAAGTTCTCATCAGTCGGATATTTCTCACACATTCGTTTCACACTTCTTTTCATCAAATTGTGGATGTTTCATCGAACATTCTCGTTCGAAATGTCCCATTTCAATGTCGGAACTGTAAGGTAACATCTAGAATGTTTCATTAATTCAAGAATGAATCGAAGGAAAAAACTACTCATTGTAGAGAATGAATTAATGGAGACTGGTAGAGCGAACATCAAATGAATCTCCCTCAGTGAATGTAATAAACCACTTTCGGATGGAGTAAATCGAGAAATCAGACAAATTTTCACCGGAAGTTTTCAATAAAAGTCTTCACTAGAGCGTGAAAGCCCTGTGAATCCTCCTCAGAGTGGTCTTTCTCGTCCATTCCATCCGTATAAACTTATCCATATTCGAATTGTGTCTAAACATTGTTCCTCCACCTTTATAGGTGCCGAATTTTGGTGTTGAATTATCTTTCCACTCAACTGCTTCTTATTTCATCCTGTTACCTCCGTTTATCCAAGTACTGCTCGTTGACTGAACACCTCACGAAAACTGCGCAAAGTATTGCTCGTTGACTGAACACCTCACGAAAACTGCGCACTGTTTGAAAAGATCATCTTCTGGCAATCAGATTAATGAATACGAATACTAAAGCAACTTGTTCAAATAGTAGAGTGAACATAAATTGAAATGGAAAAATTGGATAGAATTTCAAACTTCTAGATGTCGATTTTCTCTGAATGTTGCGTTGCTCGAATGTCACCTGACTTTCTTCACCGAATAATCCAAATTGTTCGTCTTGTTGGTTCGTCTTTCGTCCATCCGCCATCCCAAGTTGATTCTCTTCAGAGTGATCGCTCATCCCTCCATACCTGAAATTAAATAATATTAGAAAATGTTGAACGACTTATGAGGACGTGAAGACGCGCAATTTTCGTTTTTTTNTTTTTTTGTTTTTTTATTTTTTGTTTTTTTTTTATTTTTTAAAATTTTTTCATGTTTTCTTTTTTGTTTTTTGTCTTTTTATTTTTTAGTTTTGTATTTTTTGTTTTTTTTAATTTTATTTTTTTATTTTTTTCTTTTTTTGTTTTTCAGTTTTTTTAACATTAATTTTTAAAAATTAGCAACGAAACATTAGCAAACACAGGATTAGGCTTAAAACTGGCAAGAACTTGAAACTAGAACTAAAACTAAACCATATCACATAATGTACATAATAATAACAACGGAAGACATCACATAATGACAAATCAATTATCACACAATAATAACAAAATATTCTCAATTCTCAAACTTATCAACAAACGATAATAATCAATTTCGAAATTCTCTCAAATTAATCACGAAGAAATTTTGAATCACTTCGCTAATTTCTGACTTTCATCTCCCCAAATTCTTTGACTTCATTTAAAAGTTCAACGAAATAATCATTCGGAAAAATTGAATTTCAGAAGGAATCGGCAAGCACATAAAAACAAAACATCGAAGTGAATGAATCAAAAAACGATGAAAAAGCGCGCACAAAATATAAAATGATGATGATTCGATGATGATGTAAAACAACGATGATAATAAAGCGATGATGATAACGATATTGATAACAACATGACAATAATATGATGACGATGGCGATGAACGATAATAAACAATAATAAAAATTCAACTTGACAATGAAAGAAAAACTCATAACACATTAATGCAACATAACATAACACAACACAACATTAATACATAAAATAACATTAACGCAGCAAATAACACAATGAAACAATATAGCAAATGACATTAAACAAAAACATAATAATAATATGATGATGATGAACAATAATAAAAACTTCAACTTGATTAATAAAAGAATAATTCATAACACATCAAAACACAACACAACATACCAAAACACAACACAAAATCAACATATAAAATAACAACAAAATAACAAACAACATAATAAAATAACATAAGCAAATAACATTAAAAACAGCAAAACACGAAAACATAAAAATAGCAGCAGCAAACAACAACAACAGCAGCAGCAGCACCAAACAACACACCACACCCAGAGGCAATGATCGGGACCCATCTCCAACAACCAACTACCACCAACCGCGCGAAAGGAAGGGGACCGAACCACCGGAAATCAAGGCTACAGGACGAACAACCTACAGTTTGGGAGTGCGGAAAGTCAATTGCAACAATTTACTACAAGTATTGGGGTTATCAACGGTTTTATCACCTATCTTATCCCGTCACATCGAGGCCTACTTAGTCACAACCGAAATTTCAATCTTATCTATACATCATCTTGAAACTAACTATCAATTTTGTCACTATCTAATCAATTTTTGTCACCTACCCACAGCCCGAGGAGAGAAGAAGAAGAAGAAGAAAACTAATGTGAGAATAATTTATCCTTAGTTAAAGTTAAGTTAGAGTAAGTTACGTAAGTTAAAGTAAGTTAAAGAACTTCAGGTAAATGATAAGTTAGAATCAACATCAAGGGGGGGACGGGGGAATCTTATCAATCATCGAGGGGGGAGGGCAGCCACCCGAAACGATCCAAGGCAATCACCAGCTCAGGGAACAAGAACAACGGCGGCACAACAGTTAAAATCATAAGACATTGTACAATATCTCCAATTTAAAAAAAATCCAATGCTCACCAGCGAAATTATCATTATCATTGATTGGAAATCCATTTCGGATTTCACTGTGGAAATCGATAATATTTCAAGAATGCAATAAGGACAATGCCTCATACCCTGGAGCGAGCATTTCCGAACTTATTCTCATTCAAATAACATAATTAATGCTTACTTTCTTAAGTGTTTCTTCTCTTATATTCTCAGTGTAATTCAACAGTCACTTTTCTCTGAATTAATTTATAAGTATCTAATCTCTTATCAATATCAGTATAAAAGTTATAACACAAATACAATGTTCATTTGTTATAATCAATAATAACATAATGTTACAATTATCTTTCGATCCATAATAATTGGGTTCAATGATTATAAAATATCAAAATATTATCAGCAATACCAATAATGCTAATAATATTCAGTTATCTCACAAAATCAGCTAAGTTACATAAAATTAAACGAGTAAGATAAAAGGACAACGGACTTTGCATGCAACGAACGAGGACGATAAAAGGACAAAGGACTTTTCATGCAACGAACGAGGACGATTACAGTCAATAGTGAGTAAATTTAATAAGTTATACAACATCTCTAAGTGAGTACCTAAGCTCACGATACATATGCAGTTTAAAATATGCAAAATTATCATTCATTTTTTGTAGCTCTTTCTAAATTTCTCAAATTTTCTTTTATATTTTGATTTTTTTAAATTTTTTTCTTTTTTGTTTTTCTTTACTTCTCTTTTTTATTTTTTTATTTATTTTTCTTTATTTTTTTGATTTTTTCATTTTATTATATTTTTTTGAGTATTTTATTTTCTTTTTTTGATGTATTTTATTTTTATCACTTGTTGTTGTCCTTTCCGTCGCGTTGCTTCATGTAGTCGCTTCGTTGGAATGAGTTTAATTTTTGAGGAATTAAGTTTAGGAGGGATTATAATCGAGGCTTTTTCTTTTTCCTTATCACTAGCCTCGTTAAAGTATTCTCTATCCAAATTTCCTCTCACATCAATCCACATTGATGACTTTTACAGCCAAATAAATATCTCACTACTCTTTGTGAACTCAGTGCTGACTCCGAGCGGTGACCATACCTTACCCAAATTTATATTAATAATAATACCCAAACCCGCCAAGCGCCAATGGAGGTATGATTTCCCATATCCCGAACCCAAGTACTCTAAACCCTTACCCAGAGTACTGTCATAGAACCCGAACCCCGAGCCCATTTCAACATAATAAACGTTGAATAGAATATTATTAAATATTTCCCAATAGTAATAATTCCCTCCATTTATGGCGCTGAGGAGCTGGCATTACCGCCCTATGACTCCTCTTCTACAATAGAATGTTGATGCCCAAAACATCAGGAAGGAATTTTTGGGGGCATTTTCATCACACCTCTAATGTCCTAAAGTGGTTCACCGCTCTAGGTCCAGCCTTTTTGTCATTTTCTTCACACTGTCGATAAACTGAATGGAGTTGTGGGAGTAGAGTGGCTAGATTTTTTGTCATCGATTGTCTCAACATCTTGATTTGTTGGAAAATATTCAAACTCATTTGGTAATTGGGTGGGAGTGTTCGGTCGGTATGCTGAGTTGACGTCCTTGTCGATGTTGTTGACATAAACAGATGATGATAATTAACTGGATTGATGATAACAAATTCATAAGAAGTCATGTGCTAACAATACATTGTGGTAATACTATAGCAGTAAAAATAATGACAATAACAATATTAATAACAATAACACATATGACTTAATATTAACATTAACAACAATTGAAAACACATAACATTGAACATACATCCTAATGTCCTAACTGTATCCTACTCTTCATCTTGTTATGCTCGCTCCCTCACTTTACTTCACTAATATTAAAACCCATTATATCTGGATTAATGCTTCATGGCACAAGTGTTTATTCTAATAGCTGTTCATTTTCTCATAACTATCATTAATGAGGCATTGCACTTTATTGCTGGAATTTTGAAATTTTAAATCACGGAAATGAAACTGACTAATCATTGCTGGGAAGCATTGGCGTTGTGAGTGATTGGAGTTGATATCCTGTTGAATTGGTCCAGTTGAATTGTGCCGCCGTTGTTCTCCTCGCGTAGTTCCCTTTATTCGATGTAGAGCTGGTGATCCATCCCGATTTGCTCCATCAGATCGGGATGGTCTGCCTTGAATCGTTTCAGGTAGAGGCAGCATTGCTCTGCCCTCCACGCTGCCTCCGAGGCCAGGTGCCTCTTGCGAGGATTCGAGACCACCTGGACCTCATCTGCGTCCTCCTCTGGGATCGCGATGTGCGAATTGTCGCGTCCCAGAATCATCAGACGCTCGGCAGCGATTTTACGCGCCACCAAGGCCTTTTTGGTGACGCCGACGCACCTTTCGGCTTTATGTGCGTCCATGAGCGTCTTGACATCGGCGGCCGAAAGATGCGCCGAGGGGGGCAGGGCGACGTTATAGCCGCAGGACGTGCAGAGGTCTGAAATTTTAGTTCGAGTTGACTTTTAAAATATCAATTATCTCGGAACAAATGATGGCAATTTGTAAGCATAACTCGTGAAGAAATTCGATTGAGCAAGATTATTTTCCAAAACTCTATTATAATTAATTATGAAATTCTTTTTGATAGTTCAGTAAATTGGATGCCTTTAACTAATTACGAGAAGTTGCAAGCGAACTTCAAGGCAAATTAAAAGGAGAAGAGAATAAAATATTTAAACTCGCAACTTACTTCCGCCACGGTGGCAAGCGGCCCTCTGCACGTGAATTTTCCAGGCCCTAACCGTTTTGAAGGGTTGGCTGGGCCTGGCACAACCGGCCAAACGGCACCCTAAAAGTTTTATTGTAAGCAATGGTGAACATCTAAACATTATTATCACTGCTCTTATCACGAACTTCCTTATTGTAGTTGACAGGTTTTCCCGAAATTATGAAAATTAATCAAAAAGGATGGTGATGATTAACAGGGATTAATTGATGTATATAGGGTGGTTGAATGCATCATAGAAATATTCTTCGAAGCTAAGCTAATTAATCAATATCAGTGTATAAAAACTTACAGATGAGTTGGTCGTCGCTTATGTGATAAGCCTCCGTTTCTGGTGCCGTTAGCTCGGCTTGATGTTCCGGCCGCAAGCTTTCAATATTGTGCGGCCGGAACGGCTGCGGCTCTTGCTGCCTCTTCGGCTGCCTTGGGGTATGGGGCCTGCGACTGAAAATATTTCTCTTATGATGACACGGAGCGGAACGTTCGATTCTTTCACTCTATCATTTTTTCTTTTATTATATTTTTATTAACCTATCCATTCTAAATCACAACTTCTGAATCTGATGAATCCCTTCCACATCTCTAGCAAACTATCATTCCAAATTATTTCTAATCTTATTTCACCATCCCTTTTATATCAACCTAAATTTAACTCCAGCTGGATGTTCTGCTCATTTAATTGTTCCTTAAATAAGCACAATATTAAGCTGTGCTGCTTCATTAGTCTGCCTACAATCAACCTTCACTTAATTCTGATCATACTCTGTTGTGTAAGACTAGACTGTGTATTGCCGGTCGAGAACTCACTGAAAATGTAATAGCTAAACAATCGCAAAAATGTGAAACTCTCTGATAGTATGTGGTGTGTTTCACAAGAATCATTTAGCGCGATGAATAAATTCATTTCGTGTTACCTATTGTTTTCGTTTCAGATGTGTTCCGTAATGAGTAAGAGAAATATTTTGAGATGAAAAATTCTGAAATTTAAATGCAATAAATATAGAAAATGGAACTTACAGAAAGTATCTCGGTTGTGCAGGCCCCTCTTCTGGTTGGGCCATGTTAGAGTCGTCGTTAGGTTGTTGGTTAATTTCGTTGTTAGGTTCTTCGTTATTATTGTTAATAATTTCTTCTTCTTCTTCTTCTTCTTCCCACATGAAGAATTCCCCGGGCTGTGGGATTGGTTCGGCGGGCCCCTCCTCAACGGGGCCGGGTGATGGACGGCGTTCCCCACGCTCCAATTCCTAGAAGGATTATCTCGATCATGAAACGACTTGAAATGTTTGATAAAAATTACATAATTTTGATAGTGTCATTCAAAATACTCAAAGTGATCATCTACGATCGATTGTTGAGATGCTTGTTCAAAGTATCATTGAGTCTCACTTACTTCGACAGGGAGCGGGACTCGCCATCGATCCATTTCCATGGTGAAGCGCTCCGAGTCGATGAACTGAAACATTATTCGATTGTTATTATTATTCCTAATCTTACGTTCACATTACAAATCCTCATTATTATCATATCATGTGAGTATGATTACTGTTATTGTTATATAGTTCGTAAAGTTCATCTGAAAAAAAAGAACTTACTTGGAGCGCTGGGAAGCCAATGAAGACGGCGTAACGGTCTTCGGCCTCGCGGATTACTTCATATAAGGCCCCCGTTACGCCGAATTTCCAGCTCCTCACGTTTTCCATGTCGGCCCTGTGGATGAGGAGCTGGACGTCCATCATCCGGCAAATGGCCTCTACTAGCAAGGGGGAGGGCGCCCTTGCTTTAAACGCCTCGACTGAAATTAGACAACAATAATTACTCGATGCATTTTCGAACGAGCTTATAAAGATCTGAGATCTTTTCCGTCTGATTTCCCAACATTATTCGTCAATGATATTAATCAATTGATGATATTAATCAACTGATTCATTTTGCATTCATTCTATCATAAGATAAATATCTTTCTATGCAATCGATATTTGAATAATGTATTTTCCATGCTGTATTTCTCAGATTTCGATATTGCTCTATTTAATGATATGATGAGTTCCTCTTATTATGTTTTCGATGTTATTATTTGTTGATATTATATCATTCGCATTGTTTGTATTACCATCATGATTCAGAATTTTTATGATTCTATTGGTATGATGGTGATAGCATTATATTTATAGACATCAAAAAGTTTAATAAGCTGATATTATCTTATTTTGATTTTTGTCATATGATTATTGTTATATCAGCTCACAAATTTTATTTCATCAAGCTATACGAGCGCTCTTAAAACGTTACGTGATTGTGTGATGAATCAATAAAACAAAATAAAATGATTACTTGTTAAAGTTCACTTAAACTTACTTATTGAATGACCACCCAGTTCGGGTGGCAAATCGGCAATTGTTAGTAGAGGCCAATTCTCATTGACCCACCGAACCAAACGGTCGTAATGGGGCATTAATGTTAATATCCCCAAAACTTGCAGCAAATTGCTGCAATAAACTTTTCCGCTGCTCCCAAACTGCAGGTTGTCCGCCTGCAGCCTTGTTTCCGGGTGGCCCGGAACCCCTTCCCTTGCGCGCCTCAAAAAACCCTTCCGCCTCACGTCCCGATCATTTACCACATCTTTCTTCGCCCGACGATGCCTCCTCCTCCTCAAGCTGCTGCTGCTGTTGCTACTGCTTCCTCCTCTATTCATCGACATTTTTTAAAACTGAAAATACTTATTCTTGAAATAATTGTTTCAAGACATTCCTCACTCCTACTCAGTCATTTCTTTATCACCTACGTATTTTAATAAATTCTTTCTGTTACCTTCGAGTACAAATGATCCCAAGTTCCAGTGAGATTTTTTCAAATCCCATTAAAAATTTTAAGCGCATTGTCATCAACTCTTGCTCAACGCGTTTGAGTATGAGGGACAAACATATATTATTGATACATGCCTTCAATCTTCATTTGTGTATGCGCGCACATCCGCGTCAGAGATATTTTGATAAGATGAGAATTCAAGAATAACTAAGGTCCAATTAAATGATGAGTAATGTGAGGATGTCGTCTGTGACTGTGCTATCAAAGCTAGCCCTAATTGATTTCATATTTACATCGGGATTCAAGCCTGGTAGTATAAGTAGTAGGATCATGACGGTAATCATTTTCATGATGCGTTCAAGGATAATTGCAAATATTAGAGATTCACAGCATTCGTAATGTATCTTCATTAGGGCGCGTTCGTTTTCTAGCAGAAATCTTTTGCAGCAGATGAATTTTATAAGAAGAAATCGACGAACTAGAAGACAGATAATGACCGAGCATTGGAAATGTGATACCCGCATGCTTTCAAGATTTTAAGGGTTAAAGAAAATCGCTCGCTATCACGGATAGCCTAAAGTTGGAGTGCTTTTAAAGTCATATTTGCTGTGGGTAGAATTCAGACGCTTTTGCAGCCGATTTGTTCAGAGATTATGCGCTTGAGCAGTTTTCATGATGCTTCTGTGAACGGTTTTAATTCTTATAATCAGCGAATTTCATCAAATTACGAGAACTCTTGAAGCATGTGCAGCGTTAGGAACAGGTGATGCTAGAATTCGCGTTTTTGGTTTCTTTATCAGTGCAACTCTCATTTAAAATGACTTCCAAAAGGTGTCGGCAAAATCAGAA